TCAGCTGGGCGTGGTGGCGCATGCCTGTAATTCCGGCTACTCGGAAGGCTGAGGTGGAAGGATCGCCGGAGCCCAGCAGGCCGAGGCTGCGGTGGCCGGGAGCGGCCACTGCACTCCAGTCTGGGCGACAGAGTGAGACTCCAACTCAAAAAAAAAAAAAAAAAAAAAAAAAAAAGAAAGTAGAGTAGGTACTCTGAGAATGTACTATCACCAATTAATATGATGCTTTATGCTTTGTCTTTGCCACTTGCATAGTTACAAAGCATATGTTGAATTATATAGCATTGTACCATATAAGTTGTTTTGAATAGAATAGCTAAGCCATACGCCCTCACAAATTACTTTGAATTGTTTTCTGGTTTTCTAATCTTTGCTGACTGCCATTCCTATCTTTAAATTTATTACTAAAAGTTTCCTTTGAATGTCTCTCAATAATTTTTTAGTTAAGTTTTTGGAATATCATTAATATTTACAGAAGCCTCACAAATATGTTTGTGAGAAATTTATTATTTTATTTTGGCAATCTCAGAATATTACAGTCATGCATCATTAACAACTGAGCTGTATTCTGGGAAATATGTCATTAGGCAATGTCTTTGTGTGGCCATCATAGAGTGTGCTTACAAAAACCTAGATGATATGGCCTATTACATACTTAGACTACATGGTATAGTCTATTGCTCCATTGTTAAAAACCTGTATGTCATGTTACTGTACTGAATATTGTAGGCAGCTGTAACACAATAGTATTTATGTATTTAAACATATCTAAACATGGAAAAATAATGTATTGCAGTTTGATGTTACAATGGTGGTGATGTCACTAGGTAGTAGGAAGTTTTTAGCTCCATTGTAGTTTTTTGGGATCATAGTCATATTTGTGGTCTACTGTTGATCTAAATGTCATTACGTGGAGCATAACTATGTGATTTCTATGATCTACCTTTCAAAATTACTCTACTAGATTTTAAATAAAATGTGGAACTTTAATTTTGCTGCAGAAAAATGCAAGAAATTAAAGCTAGTGATTTCTAGCCATAAAACTCTATGATCCATTTGGCCAGGTCTCTTAGATCTGCAGTTGAACCTTATGGAAACATTAGGTAAGCTGGATTGCCTTGATATCAGGAAATCTGTAGCTGAGATAAGAAAAGGGTGTGTGCGTAGGCAATTAAGTAGGAACACTTAAGTAGGATTAGTAGGAACACTTGGATATAGGTTGGTGCTTCTTGACTGCCTCTACAATAGTGAGATATTGACATTTTAAATATACATGGTTCTCTAAATCATCATTTAGGGGATGATTCCAGCCATGTCTATCGTCACTTATGTTACAAATGACTCGAAGCCAGATTAGGTTTAAATCCTAATGGTTAATTTGAAACAGTAACTAGCAAAAGTCCTGGCATTTCACATACTTTCTTAGAAAAGAAGCTTTGATTTTCTTCAGAAACATTGTACTTTTATCTTACTAATAAAATTTAAACCCTCTACTTTTAATCCTCTACTATTACATGTATCTTATTAAGTATATATGTATATAAAATGGACATTCGCTTTTATATGAACATTTTATTAAAAAGAGTTAAGTTTATCTTTCTTGTTCGACACCTGCATCTTCTCAAAAGAACTTGTAGAAAATAAATTATTTGTACTTGTTAAATTGACTATTCATAGATAATAATCACATATTCTTTGATAATTAATCTTTCATTGGTAGTACAATTTTTTTTTCTGTCTTTAACTTGGTACTTTAATTATTTTACAGATTTAGATTTATTTTCGAAAACTTAGCTTCTAGTTTCCTTTTTTTTTTTTTTTTTGAGTTGGAGTCTCACTCTGTTGCCCAGCTGAAGTGCAATCGTATGCTTGCGACCTCTGCAGCCTTGACCTGCTAGGCTCAGGCGATCATTCTTCCTCAGCCTTCCAGGAGAACAACAGACACGTGTTACCACGCCCGACTTCTTTTTTGATTTGTTGTAGAGATGCAGTCTTACCAAGTTGCCCAGGCTGGTCATGAACTCCTGAGCTCAGGCAGTCCTCTCGCCTCGGACTCCCAAAGTGCTGGGATTACAGACTTCAGTCACTGCGCCCAGCTCTATTTCCTTTTAAAGCCTTCTTTGGCATCCTCCTTCTAGCATCCAAACTAGTCACCTCTGTTGATTGACTCTTTATCACAATGGCAAGCAGTATTTCTCATTGGAGGAGATATGATAGAAACATGATAAAGTTTCTCATGATTTGGTGAGACTCTATAGCTCATCAGTTCTCCTCACTTCCACACATACACCCTGCTCCAGCCTTATTTCTCTACATGCACTTTGTTTACGTACACACAAGCTTCTATTTCTGTTTGTACAAAATAATTTATGTTCCCTCATGTACCTTCTCATTCCCAAGTCCAATCCTTCTTCTTCCTGCTAATATTTTGTGTCCTTCAAGACCCAGCACAGACGTTACTTTTCCAAAGTACCCATCCTTAAGATTTGGGGGCACTCCTGTCTGGCCATAGCACTGTGAGGATACATCAACCAGTGATTGCTATTATCTGTTCCCGTGTGTGTTCTCTCCTTAATTCTGCAAAATGCACATATACACTCACACGCTTGCCCACTCATACACTCACAGACATACACACACACACACACACACACACACAGATATACACCATGAAGATACAAAGGTTTTCTTTAGTTTTAAAAAATATCTCAACCATTTAATAGAATGTTAGTGCTCAATAGTTGTCTGTGGAAAGAGTCTTGATGTTACTTTAAACTTTAAAGAAATAGAAATGACCAAGACTATGTATACCTAAAATTAGGAGTAAATCTCTCTTGGTCTATAATATACCTACTATTCTAATTCGGTTTTATTGAGATCAATAAGTAATTTAATGCATGTTATAAAATTCTAGCTACTTTTAATAGTTATATAAAATTTTAAATTTTGTACCATGCAGACATTTATGACATATCTTTTGTCCAAATTCTACTCTGTAAAATTTCCTTTTGTATAAATATGTCAATGTAAATGAACACTCTCAAAATATCATTGTACGATTTTAAAAAAATTATTCAAAAATAATCACACAGATATAGATATACAAATGATAGAGATATATGGATAGAGACATATACAAGCATACTGTCTATAAATTTTATCAAAAAATATCAGATCATTTGAAGATTCTGCTATGCAAATATAATATGTAGCTAGAGCTACATTGTGATATGTAGATGAAATTAAGATTTGCAATCCAGAATCACCAGAAATCTAATACTCTTCAATCGGAATGACCAACAGTTTGGGGGATTTGAGAAAAATTTCTAATTTGGAGAATCTAAGTGACTCACACAATAATTCAAGAAATATTGAATTAAGCAAACATTTTTTTTATACCAGATATTGTTCTAAGCTTCTGGTATACAACAGATAATGTATTTATTGAATAATAACAAAACATTAATAAAAATAATAAGGCATTTATTAAAGCTTTATTCAATCATTTCATTAAAATGTGACTAGTTTATGTCTTATTCTCTTAGAGCCTGACATATCACAATTGTATAACAACATGAACCATCAGGGGAAAAAAATTGTTCTTTAATCATTTTTAGCTATACATTGTTTTCATGAAAGGCCATAGTGAAAATATTTGGGCCATGGGACCACTTTGGTGTTTCTTAAATCATACCATATGTATGGCTATTCATCAGTCCTATTCAAGTTGGCGTTGCATTTTTTCTGGCCAGCAGCACAGAAAAGAAACTTCATTAATACAGATGAAAAATACTCTTTAAGGTAGTAAAAATCACCAGAAAAACAATAATGATTTTCTTTCCATTTCTTGAAGTATTTGGGAAATGTGCCTAAAATGTGAGAAAATGGATTGTCTCAAATTACATCAGTAGAGATCATTTGGCTCATGATTTAACATAAAACATTTACTCTTAGAAAATATGTAAAGGACAGATAACTTTCTAATAGAGAATACTTCAAAATTCAAGGGTACTTATCACATGTGAGATACACAAGCGAGTTGAATTTGCTTGAAAATTAGGGGTTTATAAGACTAACAACACTTCATCTAAATTAGGTAGAGAAATTTAGCAGGTACCAATACAATTTTTCATTTCTGGTTTGCATAAGGCATAGATATAGGTTTTGCTATAATGTTGTAATATGCTTTGGCATTTTCACAAGTCAAGGTGCAAAACAAATACTTTTGTGAAAAGTGGATTTTTATAAATGCTGTGTTTTCCTTTGATAAGGCCTAAGATGATGTGTTGGAAAACTTCAACGGTAGTAGATATAGAACTTTAAAACTGCCATAGACTCAAATACTATTAACCATTTCCATATTTTTTAATAGAGGCTCAAAGAACTGAAACAAAGAGAATTTGCTCGAAATGTAGCATCTAAATCCAGGAAAGATGAAAGAAAACAAGAAAAGGCCCTCCAACGCCTGCACAAGCTGGCAGAGCTAAGAAAGGAAACTGTATGGTGAGTGTGCAATGAAATGTCAAGTTTTCTCAAAACATGAACAAAAAACAAAGGAGGGGGAGTTTAGAAATAAAGGGCACAAATCTATTTATTTCTGTACCCAGAATAAGTCACACATGTTTTCATGGCCTTCTGTGGGCTGTAAACAATAATTTGAATTTGAATTTTATACAAACACCTGCTTAATGCACATTTCCATAAAAAGCCAAAATTACTATAATTTTAGTTCACAAAAAAATAAATTTTACCTTATATTGCTATTTCAGCTATCTTAGTTGAAAGGTATTCCATTTTTTGGTGAAAGTCAATACATTTGATTGAAGAAAAGAGCAAGACACTGTCTTATGACCTTTTTTAAAAAATAAAAGAAACTTTTTGAAATGAAAATATAGAGAACTTTTATTTAAAATTATCTTTAAGATTAAAAAAAAGGCCAAGAAGACCCTATGCATTTGAGAAGCAGATCAAAATTAGTTTCACTGTGAATAAACTATAATTGGCCAATTAGAAGTTCACAGTTCTCAAACTTTGACCTGCTTCTAACAGTGAGCAACTGTTAGATGTGAACTGTGTGATACTTCTGACTTTACAGTTCAAGACAGGGCAAGGTTACTGAGGGAAGACCACTTTTTAAAGTATCTTTTGTTTCCCTAATAAATAAGGTCTTTCTTATTGTCTATAACAAGGCTATTTTATACCAAATATATTTTATGCTGAATAATGTTAGGGGATACCTTGATATATCAAAATGTGGTTAGGGATATCAAATTTGTAAAAACCAAAATAACATCTATATTTATTCGAAATCTTATATGGAACTGTTAAAAACAAATGTAACTGGTATTTGGTTATACTGACAAGATATGTTTCTGTTGTGTAGTAACAAATGAAAAATTATATAAGTGCAAGTTTATACTATAGAGAATCGCAGAGCTTATGTAATTTAATGTTCTGTAAGTAATATTTGAAAATGCAAATTCTAATACAGTAAGAGAACTAGGGTTAATAATTATATATATATAATTAGTGCATAGACCCAAATACTATTACATTATTATCCTCAGTTAAGAGCACAAATTTTACACAGACACACATATTATTTTCTCATTAATTTTGTGCTTCTAAACACGTACAAATAGAAAGAGGTGATGTTAGTAGCAGATAGGACAATGAAACTTTATATTGGGCTAGTGATTAGACAAATAAAATATCCAAAAAATTTTTTTTTCATTTATAATGTCTTAAAAAACTGAATACCGGGGCATCCTCTCAGGTCCCTTTCCGCTGTGGAAGCTTTTCTATCCTCTCAATAAATCCTGCTTTCTCAAAACAACACCACCACCACCACCAACAAAAATGAATCTTTAAAATATCATGGAAATATCTACATATGTGTTTCTGTGAGAGGAAGGGTAAGATTTAGGAATTTCTTATATTTTCTTGCATGTCAGTATAGTTCTTTTTAAAATCAGAATTCTCACTATTTATGATGTATTGTAAAGCCAAATTAATCACATCTTAAGTAGATAGTCTTTTATGCTACATTTTCTGAAAATTTTAATGTAACTTATACCCTCAGGATAGTTTTAAATATCCAGACTAACAATTTTAAAAGACTCAAAACTCTCATCAAACTAGTACTATCTATTTATATTTTTGCTTTGCACCTGAGCTGTGGTAGACTCTCCATAAATGTTGGTTCAACTAAATTATTGAATCAAAATATCCAGCTTTTCTGATATCATGATTGAGGGTTTTTTTTTTTCAATTTTCATCATATTTGTCATACATCATCAATGATATTAAGTATTCATGAATTAAAAGTAATTTTTCCTTAGAGAATTATACAACACTGAGGAGACCACGGGGGTAGAAAATCTTGCTCAGGAAGCACTGGTTGAGAGCACTGGATAGCATAGACATTGCTATTCACAGCTATAAAGTACCTTCAAGACAACATCTACAAGTTATCCCAAATAATAATCAATAAGTGATTATGTAGCACTATGAAAGGGAATCGCACTATATGAATTTAATTCTCTTACAAAGATTTAAAACTTTGAAAAACTATGTTAATGCTGTTTCTAAGATGTGTTTGGCTATTTTTCCTCAAACGTGTATCATATTTAACACACATTTTTGTTCTTTTTATAGTGCTCCTGGAAGTGGCCCCATGTTCAAGTCAACAACTGTTACTGTGAGAGAAAATTGTAATGAAATTTCCCAAAGAGTTGTTGTGGATTCAGTTAGTAACCAGCAAGATTTCAAATATTCTTTGATTCATAGGGAAGAGAATACTAAAGATGTTACCTCTGTTGCTGCAGATCCAGAAAGCGCAAATAATTATACAGAAAAAAATAACCAACTTGGGGATCAAGCCCAGGGAATTCACAGACACAAAATCGGCTTTTCTTTTGCATTTCCAAAGAAAGCATCCGTGAAGCTAGAGTCCTCAGCCGCAGCCTTCTCTGAATACAATGATGATGCCTCTGTGGAAAAAGGATTTAGCAGAAAAAGTAGATTTGTCCCCGGTGCTTGTCATCTTCAACTATCTTCACCAACAGATGTGCTTTTGAGTTCTGAGGAGAAAACTAACTCTTTTCATCCACCAGAGGTAATGTGCACTGACAAAGAAATTGCTCAAACTCAAGAGATAAAAGAAGTCTCCAGTGAAAAAGATACATTATTATTACCTTCATTTTGCCAGCTTCCACTCCCTTTATCTTCTGATGCAGATAATTGTCAAAATTCAGTCCCATTAGCAGACCAAATACCACTGGAAGATGTTATTATTAATGAAGACATACCTATGAGTGGTAACAGTTCTGAGTTGTTAGGAAATAAATCCATAATTCTTGATATGTCTAATGACTGTGTATCTGTGCAGACTTCCACAGAGGAAAATGTTAAGGATAATGAGACATCCACAATTGAAGTTGAAAACAAAAATAGTCCTGAGACACTGGTCTCTCCAAATACTGAAGAAGAAAATACAACCTTACATAAAAAACTAGATAAGAGACAATGTGAGCCATTTGTACCTGTACTTAACAAACATGGTTCAACAATTCTTCAGTGGCCATCAGAAATGCTAGTTTACACAACTACTGAACCATCAATTTCTTATAGCTGTAATCCTTTATGTTTTGACTTCAAGTCCACTAAAATAAACAATAATCTAGATAAAAATAAGATGCCATCAAAAGATCTTTATTCTCGGCAGAAGGGAGAAGACATATGCAAGGGACAAGTTTCAAACTGCAAGGACATATCGATTGCAAGACTTACTGATTTTGAAGTTGGAGGTAGCAGAAGTGAATATACACAGGTCACTCCTCTTTTGGCTGATTTTAGTCTCTCTAATAGCTGTGAATCTGGAAAAAATGAGGATATGGGGCAGAGGTATAAAAAGATTTCCTGTAGGATCAGAAAACCAGAAAAATATACCACTAAAAATCAAATAAAACAGGACACTCCCGATGAAAAATACAACAAAATAAGGTTGAAAGATATTCATGAATACTGGTTCCATAAAAGTAGAAGAAAGAAAAAAAGAAGAAAGTTTTGTCAGCATCACCATGGGGAGAAAACCAAAGAATCAGAAACTTGCAAAATTGAAATAAAGAATACTTACACTGATACAGCTGGGAAAAATCTACTGGAACCAATTTCAGAAAAGCCGTATGTAACTGCAGAGCAATTATTAGACTCACAGCAGTTACCTGAAAAAAGGCCCAAATCAGCATCCATACCCTTAAGTGAAAATGAAGAAATGTGTAAAGCCTGGAATACTGAATACAATAATAATGATGCTGTAACTTCCAAAAACCACTGTAAAAAGAACACAATACTTTTAAATGGGCAATCACATCCAACAATGATACATTCTGAGAAACATAATCTATCGTACTCCAGAACTTACTGTTGTTGGAAAGCCAAAATGTCGAGCTGTAGTCAGGATCACAGATGCTTAGTTCTTCAAAATGACATGAAATGCCTGAGTCAGAATCAGGCTGTTAAAAGAGGTTACAATTCTCTCATGAATGAAACAGAGAGATTCCATCGAAAACGTAGACAACATTCGTATTCTTATTCTTCAGATGAGAGTTTGAATCGACAGAATTATTTACCAGAAGAATTGTTGAGGCCACCAAGTGCTTCAGTTGCCCACTCTAAACCTAAAAAGAAACGGAGGAGAAAAAGAAGTAGATGCCACTCTGGATTTGAAACATTAGAACTCAAGGAAAACACAGATTATCCCATGAAAGACAATTTAGATGAGTTAATAAATGAAGACAAAAAAGAAGAAGTAATGCCACAGGAAATTTCAAATATCGAAAGGAACTCAGAACGAACAGATGAAGTAAGAAACAAACTGACTTTGCACCCTAACCGTCCCCTTCTTTCTGAACCCAATGGTGAAACTGATCATTTGGTCATGGAGACCACTCCTGGTCAATCCTCAGAGGTTTCCAGTGATCCCACCACAGCTATCTACGCAGAGAGTGCCCCACCAAAAGAAGCAATTGACAATACCTTGCTTGAACACAAAGAAAGAAGTGAGAACATAAATCTTAATGAAAAGCAAATTCCTTTCAAGGTGCCTAATATTGAAAGGAACATTAGACCTTCACAGCCTAAATCATACCTTTGCCATTATGAACTGACTGAGGCCATTCCCCAAGGAAAGATGAATGAGGCATCGACTGAGTGGCTGCGTTATAATTCAGGACTCCTTAACGCACAACCATCGTTACCGTTCAAGGAAGCACACGTCAGCGGTCATACCTTTGTGACAACGGAGCAAATCCTGGCTCCGCTGGCTTTACCGGAGCAAGCATTACTGATCCCACTGGAAAACCACGACAAATTCAAAAACGTCCCATGTGAGGTCTACCAGCACATTATCCAGCCCAACCTGCTGGCCAACAAGGTCAAATTCTCCTTTCCTCCAGCTGCCCTCCCACCCCTCAGCACGCCTCTGCAGCCTTCACCTTTGCAGCAGCCCTTCTGCTCTACCTCCGTAACCACAATCCATCACACTGTTTTGCAGCAGCATGCTGCAGCCGCTGCAGCCGCCGCCGCCGCTGCAGCTGCAGGAACCATTAAAGTGCTTCAGCCACACCAACAGTTTCTTTCCCAAGTCCCAGCTCTCACCAGAGCATCCTTACCTCAGATCTCAGTAGGACCAGTAGGACCCAGGCTTTGTCCCGGGACCCAGCCGGCTTTTGTGGCTCCTCCACAGATGCCAATCATTCCAGCTTCGGTTCTTCATCCTAGTCACCTGGCTTTCCCACCTCTTCCCCACGCGCTCTTTCCTTCACTGCTTTCCCCACACCCTACGGTCATCCCTCTGCAACCCCTCTTCTAGTCACTCACCATCAGTGGGAATGAAAATGCTCGTGAAAACTGTGGCTATCTACATACGTGTTCATCTAAGTGGGTAATTGGTGGAAATAAACTGGCCCAAATAAGCCCTCATAGATTTGAAATCATTTACTGTAAGTGTAACGATGCAAATAAATTCTTAAGTTTCTGATATATAATATTAAGCACTAATAGTTTGAAAATCAATACAATATATGCTGTATATTAAAATGATGTCTTAAGAGTATGTATAATGTACATAAAATATATTTATAGTACTGTAATTTACGTTGTAAAGTATGCTCTTTGTTTTTTTATCTTTGTGTATCTGCACCTATTTAATGTTTAGACAAAACTGATGGCACTATGTTTTGTATCATGTTCCTCGAAACTGTAAATTCAGTGACAAATATCTCTTGCAATAAATTTTTGTTAACTATTTAAGTAAATCAAACTTTTGTTTTTAGTTGGTTTTCACTGTTTTAAGATTATGTAGTAACAGTAGGTGTTAGATTTATATTATTCCTTCCATCCTTTGGCATCTCTGAACTCCAAGGTCCAACAAATGCCTTTAAAGCTCTAACAATACTTAAACTATGATATAATCTTTCAAAAATATATATAACAGAGGGTCCACTTGTTTTCTGGTAGAGCTTACTATATTTCTTGAGCAATTGACTGTTTCTTTAGACAGTAAATCATGAAAATTCATGTTAATGTTAGTATTTGGGTGGGTAGTAACTCAAAAAACATGCAAAGGATGTAATATTTCCCCAATAACTCTAAAACAGGACAAGAAGACAAGAAATGACAAATCACCAATAAATTCACTTATAGCATTTTTGTATGTTAAAATTCTGAAATTTACTATGCTTATTTTCCATTGTTGTAGCAAACATAGATATATGAGAATGTTGGCATGAATTAAGAAACAGGTTTAACTTTAAAACATTACTTATTAAATTACTGTATATTATCTGTTATAGAACATCTTGAAGTGAATGACATAAACAGTCTGTATCTGGAGGTACCCTTAATTGAAGATCTGGAAGTGGGATGGAGAGTAACTATGTAGCCCTTCTATTTGCAAATCTTTCTAGTAGTCATGCTTGTATATTTCCAAATCCCTCAGGAACAGGTAGAAAGGCTCCACACCATACTTTAAGATTCTGCTTCATTTTTAATGGCCTCTGCAGTATTGTTCAGTCAAGCACTTCTAGATATAATGAGAAATATAACTATTTAATAGAAAACTAAGGAATAGCACACTTTTTCCAAGGAAGTTTTCTAATACAAACCTGCTCCAGTCCATACCATTTGCTAAGACAAAACATACATGTCTGTTAGAGTGGGTTGAACTCACCATGCACACATGATAGGAGATTCTGGCCACCTGGCAATAAATCCAGGCTTCAGAGAGTCCAACTCTCTGATTAGAGTTCGTCTAAATGAAGAGCAACTTTTAAACTATACTGTACTAAGAAACTGTTACTTCATAAGGCTATCATAGGATTTGAATTACATTACATAATTTAGAGTTTAAAAGTATGTTTTCATAACAAAATAATCAATATTAAATTCTATTTTATGGAAGAGATGTAAGGGAAAAAAATTTAGGATATTTAGCTTAAAAATTATTTGCCATAATAATCATTGGTTTATTTGAATGTTCACCTGAAAAATGCTTGTGGGAGATTGACTATACTATTTTTTGACTGACAAATATGAAGATAAAAATAGTAAGGAAGCAGTTCCATTCCAAATGTTTGAAGATAATGTGTTCCAAAAATGGGAGCTAAAATTGGAACGGATGATTTTTTTCCCCCAAGCAAAATATTTGAAACTATCTTTGAAGATAAAATAGATGGGAATATCTATTGGGGAATGCTGACCCAGTTTGTTTTTAATCTGTCAGGGCAGAATTGTTGCTTCTCCTGTTTAAAAAAAAAAAAATCAAACAAGCGTGTAACTTTAAAATATGCAGATTTTTCTTCTTCTTTTCATCTTTTGTCTCTCATTTGCTTGTTCATCTCTTACCTATTGTCTTATCTTGCATTTCCTTTATGTTCTGATCTTTTTCCTTCTTAATTTTATTATAAACACATTTGTGCATAAATGTGTCTCCTCTTCTTCCTCCCTTTCCTTTCAGTTTTCAAATTCTGTTTCTTAATTTTTTTATTAGATTTTATGGTTAGGTATGGTCAATTTTTTAGTTGTAACAGTTTATATCTGATTGCTAGACATATAGGAAGAATTTCTAGAAAGTTTAACAAGGAACATTCCTAGTTAAGATTAATTAAACCTCAGCTTGACAGGCAAATGATTGGTTCTTATGAATACCAGTGGCTGTATAAAAAACATGAACCATATTTAAGCACCAACAAAACCAGCCTGATTACAATCAGTCATTATTTGATACTTTGCTAAGATATTGTTTACAAGATCTGAGTATTGGTTATGTGTTGGGAAGTCAAAATGAAAGGGTAGCGAGACACATTTGCATCTATTTTGATAACGTCAACCCCAGAATGGGGGAATCAGAACAATAGGCTGAAGATCAACAATGAGCTGATCAGGCAGGTAAGTCAGGGAGGTGTCATTAGGCAATGGACCTGCCAGAAGACCACCAGTCAAGCCCATCTTAACGGTGGCAGAGCCAAGTCAGTGGGGCAGTCATACTCTGAAAGTAGTTTTGGATAGTGGCTGATGGTGAAGACAAGATCCCAGGCTTTTCAGGCCTAAATTGCTGTACGTCCGGTTTACTTTTAAAATTTGAATGATTCTGACACTATCTCTTACCTACCATCTCCAGTCTACTAGTTGCAGGCATTACTATAGCAATTGTCAAAGAATGAATGATTTGGAATATAGAATGTAACTTGAATACTGAAAGCAATTGTAGCCGATTAACAAAGCTTCTTACATTAGATAATAGGAAGGAAAATTACCCACAGCTTCAACTATCATGCACATGCCAATGACACATTTTCTCTAAGTCCTTCTGTGTGTTGAAAACCTATATCAAACTGTCCACAGGACATCTCAACCTGAATATCTGCCAAGTATTTTGGACTCCAAGCTCAACCTTTTTATCTTGCTTTATGGATACCACCCAAAACTCTTTTTTATGGGTTTCTAAGCTCTGTGACTGTCTTTATAATAAAACTTGTTATTCAAGTCAGAAACCAACGTATTATACCCATATCAAAACAATCAATTAATCATGTTGGCTCTGTTTCCTTAAATATTTTTCAAATATATCCCATTTTTCTTGACTATACTCTCTATACAGTTCTAGCCCTAGTCATCTGTAAGCTGAGTTGCTGTTTGAAATTCGTCTCCATCCCCCAAGCTCCTATTCCTACAATCCATCCTCTATATTGCTTCTAGTGGTATATTTTTAAAATGTAATCTGATTATGGCATGTCCCTTCTTTTAAAGTTATTATGAATTCTCAATTATACTCAGAATAAACACTAAAGTCCTTTGTATGGCATAGAAAATCTGTGGTGAAGTAGATGCTAGCCTCCCTAGTCAGGACCAGCACCCCTCTGGGCTATCCGTTATCATATACTAAGGTTTACATGAGCTTGTTTTGTTATCTTGCAATGCCTTCCCCACTATATATTTTTTCACCTGGATAACTGCTAATGAGCTAAAATTCAGCTTGAGTGTCAGTTTCCTTTAAGAATTATTTCTTAGTTCCCTGTCTTCCCTGATGAGATTGTTTCCTGTCATCTATTCTCTCATGGCACACTGTACATAGACTTTGTTATAAAACATCCTGTGTTGAACATATTGTCTAGTCTAAATCACTAGAATAAGAGGTCCTTGAGTCAATGTATTGTAACACACGGTAAACACTCAAGAAAATTTTGTTGAGTGAGGAATAAAATGAGTTGGACATAATATAATTAAAATCTATGCAATGTATTAGAGTTCCAGAACTGTAGTCTATTTTTATTCCAAACTTGTCCTGAATAAGCCTAAATAAGAAGATAATTTTTCAAAAAATAGGCTTCACAACACTATTAAACATGTAGAACTTCTTTTTTAGTGGAATTATAGATCACTTAAAATAGGACTGCATTATCAAAAATCAAAGCACATCTTGAACCCCTTTTCATGTCCCAGAAGGAAGTCACACACTTCATTGCATTGATCTCCATCTCTGTGCATCTATCTACCTATCTTCATTTATCTGTTTATTATCTATCCGGTGACACCTCCTTGTCACTAAACATAACATATGATGTGTCAGACACTAGAATTTAGGCTTGAGACATGAACAGCACACATCTGCCATCCAGATATTTGAGTCTAATAAGGGAAGCAGACATGCACAATCTAGTATTTAGTCATCCAAAGTTTACTGTTCCATTATCATTCAGTAGAAATAGACATAATTTACATTCACCAATGCGTTTTTCCACTGTCTTGTGTTCTTCATTTTTCATCCTTTTGTGTACTTAATTTTTCTCTGTTTATTTGTCTAGCTAAGCCACTGTCATCTGTGTGTCCTTGGGAGAGAAAGTTGCCCCTGGGAAGCTTTCTAATAAGCTGTTTGCCTTCTCTCACAAATAAAATTGGAAAAAGGATTAAAGCTTACTTATAAGTTTAGGCCCAAAGTTGTGCTTTAGAGGCAACAGTAAAAAAAGTATGCCATTTGCTCTGAGGTGTCAATTATGGCAGAAATGTAGGCCACCATCTTCCAGCCATGTGAATGGTATCCTCCTCTCCTATCGAGGATGGGCTGCGTTGGTGCAGAGGAGACCACTTTTTGTCCACACAAAGGCATCATTGCTCACTATACCAACTTGTCCAGAACAATCTCCCTTTGAATTATTCATATAGGCATTTTGTAGACTAGCACCTGCCCTGAGCTTTCAACCTTTGAAAGTATGAGATATGGAGTTTGCTTGAGCCTGGTATTTCCTAGAAGGAAAGAAGTGTAACTAGTTTTCTTTTTTTTTTTTGCTCTTCTAAGCTATTATTTCAAAATAACCTTATTATTTTTTATTGACTGTATCTTTTTGTGCTATCTATTATTTTGATTATGTGTTTATGTATTTCCTCAATATTTTTCTTTATAAGAATTCTGGTTTTAACTACTGCATTTTATTTTTCTGTAAATTACTTTCTAACATTTTTCATGGGGACATAATATTCTATGTCTTTATTATCTTCATAGTATTTAGAATATTATATATTTTAGATTTTAAAATAGATCTTGTTACCTTTTAATTGAATTAAGCATACTTTGTTTACTAGTGTTAACTTGTTAACTTCCATACCTAGTTTCTGTAATTTTAAGACTCTTTTAATTATTTCATTGAATATTCATTTTAGTTCATTCTTAAATATACTTACTGATGGTGTAGACACACAACATAAATTATTTAAGAAGTACCCACATATGAAGTAAAGAAGTTTTGAGGACAGTACTTGT